ATTCACAGATGTAAAAAAGGCAGACAGACTGACATAAAGGTAGAAAAAAGGTGAGGGGGGTACTGTGGAAGAAGTCGAATATGATATACAGTGGGGAGGAACATCAAAGTGAAAAAAACGTGGAGAGGGGGAACAGAAGAGTGATTCAAAGATTTAAAAGACAGAGATACAGAGACAAAGGCAGAGAGAAGGTAAGGTGAGTACCGTAGAAGGGAACAGACTCAGAGGTAGAAAAAAGGTGAGGTGAGTACTGTGGAAGTAGACTAATATGCCATACAGTGGGTCATGGTAGCTAGAGTCAACTGAAGGTAGAAAAAAGGCGAGGTGAGTACTGTGGAAGTGGTGAAATATGACATACAGTGGGGTGATGGTAGTTTGAAGTCAGAGGTATATGACATACAGTGGGGTGATGGTAGTTTGAAGTGAGAAATAGGTAGAAAAAAGGTGAGGTTAGTACTGTGGAAGAAGTCGACAGTAGAGCAAAGGTGAGGTGAGTACTGTGGAAGGGGTCGAATTTGACATACAGTGGGGTGATGGTAGTTTGAAGTGAGAAGTCGAAGAGAAAAGGTAAGATGAGTACTGTTGAAGTGGTCGAATTTAAGAAAAAAGGTGAGGTGAGTACTGTGAAATGGTCGAATATGGACAAAGGTGAGGTGAGTACTGTAAAAATAGTCGAATATGATATAGAGTGGGGTGATGGTAGTTTGAAGTCAGAAGTCAACTGCCGATCAATAGACTTTTTGCAAGTCAGAAGTCAACTGCCGATCAATAGACTTTTTTGTCTTTGAAGTCAGAAGTCAACTACCGTACAGTGGGGTGATGGTAGTTTGAAGTGAGAAGTCAACTGACGGTTAATAGACTTTTTTACCATATGAGTATACGTTGCCCAGGGTGCAGCACGTAGAGGTAAGTCTATCGCACACCCCCAATTCCAAAATATAGAATCTACCTCTTTAACTCCTCTAGACATAAATTAATCGAGCCACTCGCAGGTAAAGGAAGTTCTCTATAACATACTCATTGTTATTTACTTAAAACAGGTTACTTGAACAATTTCGCTTTCAGATGCACTAAAAATAACTGGAGTCAGTCTGGAATGGATTTTTATCGTATGACCTTGACTCAATGAATTAATATATTGATCGTAAATTTTTTATTTTTTATAGAATTCAAAAGATTCAGCGAATTTTCCTTGTAGGATATATACTTGTATAAGACACCTTTCTCAGGCTAAAATTTGGCTCCTCATATTCACTTCAAATTCAAACTTCTGCTTAAATTAATTTATGTGTATATAAAAATGTCCACAATTATTAGGAATTTGCTCGTCTATCATCCATGTGAAATTTAAATATTTAAATTTTTCAATATGGTTGTACCAAAATCAATGCCTACTGACGCAGTTTATATTTCCACGAAAACCCACCTTAAACCCTATGTTGAAATATCAAAGTTCAATGGCGGTGAAATCTCTTGTTCCAGTAACATCTACGTCCGTTTTAATAGCCACCTTTGAATTTCTTAAAAGTTACTTCAATAAAATCACAAGGCCCACCAAATTAAAAAATATTTACAAAATAATATTAAAAGAACTTTAATTGTTAAAGTAAACGCCTCAAAATTCAACTGTTTTTAAGATAATTCCTTATAATAAATTTTTGATAATATATATAGGGAAACAGATTTTAACGAATTATTCAATGAGGACTGAAAGCTATTTACTCCTGTCGTTTGCCAAAATTTTGGAAACTGCTAGAAAATACCTCTTAAACTTGAAACAAAGGCGTCTGACTCATGGCAAAAACCAATCACATTAATCAATTAATTTATTTATCTGTATGTGGAAAATAAAATATATTACAGAAATACTTATTCCATTATACACAAAATGAATTTTAATTTATTTTAAGGGTGAGCTGTAAGACTCTAGTAACAATAATAAAAATAAGAATAGTATATAAGAAATAATATTTTTTATATAGCTACTGAAATATGCAGTATTCTTTGTCTGGCCGCATTAAAAAATAAAGAATTTGTAAAATGATATTAGAAGTTTATTAGCGCGTTGTGGCTCATTGAATTAACATATTACCCATTAAAATTTAAATATCACCATACTCAATTTATTAATTCGTGAGTAAACTCACCACATTTGATAAATAGCAGTGTGTATATAAAGAAATGGCTTAAAGGTTTTTATACGGAAACAAGCCAAAAAAATATATTAACTGCAATCCCATTTTTGAAATTTAGAAAAAAACGTTGAACATTTTCAAGAACGTAGTATTTTTTAATTTATTGCAGTGCAAACTATTTATCTAAACTGAGGAAATTCATATTGGGGATTCCAATTCAAGTAAACTAACCTTATTCTTTCTTGCTTCATAAAATATCAAATGCTATAATTTACGTACACCTTTTGTATTTCATCCCTTCATCTGATTGGTGCACTACGAAATCGAAAGGCCATTGGGCGCCAATAATGACATTAAGGGTACACACTCAAAATTGCACGTGCCTTATTTATCACTGTTCATATCCTCGCCACAGTAACCCGATAAAGCATTCATTGGGTTAATAATAACAGCACCTCCTCTTGGCATTTCGCCAAAATGGCAGAGCCGATATGTCGTTGTGAGGAATTTTATATAACCCCTCCCTCCTATCACTTCCTTCCGCAAACAGCCCTCCGGCGTGTTGACTTTGCGGACGAAAGCAATCAGCAAACAGTATCCCCCAATCCCAGTACAAACTCGAGTTCAACTACAACGGAATATAGTATGATTGGGAGGAACGCGCGATACGAAGGTTTCTCATCTTCCATGGGATACCCGATGCCGAAAATAGGCGATGAATTTAGAAAATCAAGGACACAGAGGGAAGCACGAGTAATCAATGTCAGGAATTTTCGACCTGTGGAATCTAACTATGATAGGCAAAAATTTTATCCGAAAGGCGAGTCAGTTGGCAAAATTTATTACTATCATTTACATCCAATTTGAAGCAAATTTTACTGATCCTAAAAAGACAAAATCAATTTCAATGGCATTGTTACCAATAATTGCTACTAAGACGTCAAGGTTATTTGGTAAAAAAAACTGTTAAAAACGTTATATCCGAGTCTGTTTTAGTATATCTAAAGTATTCTCAATTTTTTTACTTTACAATTAACATTACTCCTCATTTTACCAACATTTTTAAAGTATATTCAAGTGATTAATTCTCAACTGTTTCCTTGTTGCAAATTGAACCAAAATGTGCGAAACAGATGTTTCGACTGCATTTTGCATCTGGAAATGCAGTAAATTGGACTAGTGTAGACGAACTTTACACCTGCTGATATCACTACAGTAAGCCGGTTCTGATGATATAGAGAAAGCTAACAATTTATGGTATATTCTGGGCATTAGATGGCACTATTATGATTGATTAATCATCAATCGGAACTTCGGATAGATTCCGGAATTATACAAATATTAAGAATAAAATAGTAATGATAAGTTGATGATTTTTAAAACACGAAATTTTGTTAATCAGAAGTACAATTAGAATAGAATTAGCAAGTTAAATGCTATGGTAGAATTGTAACCAAAAGCGATGTATTTCAATATTACTAATAGGGTTTCCCATAAATTTGCATTCAGTGCATGAAATCATTCACTAAATTGTGGATTTTATTCTTATCGAAGATTTTTAATCGGGAGTTATTGTTTTTTTAAGAGATGGTTCAAAATAGTGCGGTTGCAATAAATTTTTTCCCGATGAGACTTTTGCAGCATTTGTTTTATTTAATCTTATAATTTTTCATACTTGATTTAAAGTGTACCCGGATTTATAGACACAATGCAAATATTCAATCAAAATTTATATTGTGAACGATCCAATCTAAATATAGAAATTTGCAAATTTAAAAGAATTATTTTCAAAAACACAAATGGTCATGGCATATTCCTTCATCTATGATTCTTATGAAACCTATCACTTTAAAGTGGGTACCTGTTTCTTTCATTTTAGAGTAAAATTCAAATGTTTATCTTTGTGATAAACTAAAGGCTTAATTAAATTTTAAGAATTGTGTTAAAATAAAAATAAAATTTTGAGCCAAATGCTTTTTGACAAAGAGCTTTAAGAACATTAATTATTTATTTATTTCAAATGGCAGGAGTATTGATAGTTATCATTAGCTCTTTACCAAACTTTGGACTTCACAGAGGGTAGGAACATCAAAATGAGAAAAAGTCGATAGGAGGAACAGAAGAGTGATTCACAGATATGAAAGTGACAGACCGACACGAAGGCAGAGATAATGTAAGATGAGTGCTGTAGAAGTGGTCGAATATGACATACAGTAGGGTCATGGTAGTTTGAAGTCATAAGTCAACTACCGGTTTTGACTTTTTGCTGTATGAGTATATGTTGCCCAGAGTGCACCGCGTGGGGGTGAGTCTATCGCACACTCCTCAAAGTTATTGAAATTTACCGAACTTTTACCTTAAAAGATATAACGCTAGAAGCTTAATCATTCGCAACTTTTTTTACAATCTTGCTCATTAATACCGACAAATGTGGTTTTCATTTGCTAGATGGATATTGTAAAAATTCTCAAGGAGTAAAACACTGCTTTGCTGTATGTATTGTTATAGCACTTTTATGAATATGCTTCAATTTTATTGAAAACAACTGTTTTTACGTCAGAATAACCCTCATTTTAGCATGAAAAGACACTGCTAGGCACAGATTATCTTATGCTTTGTAAAGAATTTTATGAATTGGCAAAGCTCACTTAATTATCATACCTGCAGGCTACTAATACTTTCTTTGCCTTTAATATCCACTGCAAGATATTGTAAAAGTAAAAAGAAAAATATTTTTTATCTTTTATGAGATTCAAAACAGAAAATTTCAAAATATACAGATTTAAATGACAGTCGCTTCTGTGACTAGTTGTTTAAAACAATAAAATAATTCATGGGCTAATTGAAACGCAGTATGTAAAGAATATTTCTATTGCATTAATTTAATTTCAGCCAAATTCTTTCTTTATTAAGTTTATTTTGACTCATAGATCAGATAGATACACTTACAGGACTATGCTTTAAGATGCTGAAAAACCATGTAGTAAGAAATGTATTCGACCGGAAATATCGGGAGGTATGAGTGAGGACAATGATATCTCGAAAATCTATGGGTTGACACAGAGAGAGAGAGAGAAGCTGTCAAGTGAAGATGGTGAGAGATCAAGGATGTTGGAGTAAAATTTGAATCGATCGGATTGCAGTTCGGGATTACAATTGACGGTTGAGAATGAATTCAAGGTGATCGAAATCATGGAATCAGTAAGCCTGGTGACTAATGTATTTTCTCAACCCCTAAAACTTTAATCCCAAATTATTCGGTTTTTACTATACAGGATGTTTATGATTTATAAATAAAAAAGTTGATTTAGAATTTAAGTAAGAATATATATGTGTGCTTATCGTAAGACATTTCTTAGAAACTTTATATTGCGGCGTCTAAAGCCTTCTTAATTGAAATCAATGGTGAAGACGAATATGTGTTATAAATATCCATACCGGCTACGCTAAATAAAAAATGCAACTTTTTTAACTTTATATCTCAAGAATATATTTTTATTTTTAAAGGAGTTAAGCAAAATAAACACAGGTTATTTCAGTTTCCAAATATATTGCTAACAAAAATATTATTGCCACGACAGGCATATGGAATTTTCCATTTTAAATTTCTTTGAAGTTTACCACTCCTAATATTGCAGTTTATGCGCCATTTTATTGTGCAGCCATTAAATTATTAATTTTTTGGCTAAACTGTATTATTTGAAAATCAAAAAAGTGCTGTTAAATAAATAAATAATTTGATCATATCCACTTATTATTATTGGAAGATTTCATTAATTACCACCTTTATAAAATATGAGTAAAAGCAAAGTCATGCGTTGATTTAACTTTAAATTATCAAGATGAATATATATATATATATATATATATATATATAAGGCCCTCAATGTCTAGTTATTCAGAAAAAGCTACTTTGATTATTTAATTAAGTGGTGCATCGTAGTTGGCCAAAATCTTAGTCAGACTAGTAGTAATTATATAATTCACATTATAAGTTCGTTCTAATTATAGAGGCATTTTCAATCACATTTTCATTGGGAAAAATTTCTTCCAAGTTGATTAATTTCTTTCAATGAATTAACCTCAAAGCAAAGTTCGCAGATGCTAGAAACAGCATATTCAACATTCTAATTTGTTCACGAAACTTGTTTCCATTTATTGCTTAATAGATAATTCATCAGGGTGGTTTTGTTTAATTAACTGACACTTACATTTAAAAAAAGCCATCAATTTTGTACCTGACTTTGCAAAAAATTTTAAAATTTACCTTTAATATCCTGTAAAATATTTTTCAATGCGGGAAAAAATAATTATGATAAAATATCGGGAAAACTTTTAAAAGTCAATTTTGTCGACTCACCCAACTCAATTATTCAAGCATTCCAAAAAAGGAAATTAAGATTTAGGTACTCAATGTACGTATAAAATTCGAGAATGATTTGAGTAGTGGAGGAAATACGAGAGTGTCATTTCTTCTGAACCATAACCATCTGAATTTGTTCAGTGATAGTTTATAGAGTTCACTATACTTAGACCGAACAGGCTTATTAATTGACTATAAATTTAATATTTCTGGTTAAATTGTCTGTACTTCAGAATATTCTTTCGTTAAAATCGAGTGTTTCTTAAATAACAATTGTTGTAAGTACATATGTATTTTCACCCAAAGGTTATGTCATTTTCTAAAATGCTGACATTTTGGGAACTCAGTTTTGTAACCTATAAAGTACTTGAGAAAAAAATTGAATTTAGTTCCTGAAATACCCTTCTGTGTTCGTGACGCCTCAATAAAAATTCATTTTCTTGACATCACATTGTATCGAGAAAATACCCGTTCTCATCACCTCCATTGAATTTGTTTTCATTACCTTGAACTATAATCAAATCGCCAATAATTGAATTTACTCATCGGGATGTTGCTATATTTTGTAAAAGATAACTTTCTTTTAAAATGCCACTTCGTCTGGCAATAGCTATGAAGGTAATAAAACGTTCGTTCTTTTGCAAAAATGACCTTTAGCCAAATTTTTAGAAGAAAAGAAAAATGAATATCGTTCAATCGTGTCAAACCCTTTATGCACTCTAATACTGTTTAATTTAATGATATTACTTTCAATTTATCATTAAAATATAAATTTATTTATTTATTTATAACAAATGGCAGGCGTTTTGATAGTTATCATTAGCCCTTTAGTTGACTTCAGGCTTCACAGAGAGGAGGAGCAACATCAAAGTGAGAAGAATTCGGGAGGGAGAATAGGAGAGTGATTCACAGATGTAAAAGAAACAGACAGACACAAAGGCTCAGAAAGGTAAGGTGAGTACTATGAAAGGGGTCAAATATGACATACAGTGAGGGTGATGGCTGTTTAAAGTGAGAAGTGAAGTGCCGGTTAATGGACCTTTTGCCGTATGATTATAAGGTTGCCCAGGGTGCACCGCGAGGAGGTAAGTCTATCCCACACCCCTTAAAATATATATTGTTTCTCTCTGAACCGTGAAATTGCTAGTTACATTTATAGTAGAATAAAAGAATCTCAATTATTGTCTGTTACTGTAGCTGTCAAATAGGTTTAATTGTACTAAAATTTTAAGGTAATACGAACGTTTTTTTCGCTTTATCCTATCTAAATTGGCATTTTCAATTATGTCATTAATCCTTCGGCAGAATGAATATTCAGGCCCATAAAACTTACAACTGAAGGCGAAAAGTTAAGCTGATTCAAAAGCTCTAGAACACTTTGACATGCAATTATTTTGCAATAAAAATTCATGCAATTTTCAAAATTTCTTAATTTAAAAAGTCTGTATTTTATTTCGCATTAATTATGACCTATGTCATGGGATACATGCTTTGTCTCCTCATTACCCATCTTTTTACAAATAAAAAGGAAACTAATTTAATATAATAATAAACCGCATTTGTTTAAACGCCTTTTTATATGTCTAGTGTTTATTTCTTATTTGCATTTAATCAAATATTTCGTGATCAAAATTACCTATGTTAGTGGCAGTAATACTTGTTTTTATCTCATCATAAATTAGTACGTTAAAAGGAATTAGGGTTATTATTTAATCAATGTCAAAAATACACTTTTACTTAGAGCTTAGTTGTTGATATGCAATGCGCATTAATAAAGACATTTAGACTAGAATAATATTTCTGTTTATTCACTCTTTTAATCGTTGGCGAATCAACACTTTAGATTCAATCAGCAATGACTATTGTGTTATCAGATTTAAAGGGAACGATTCAAGTAGCAAAACTGTGTCCAACCAAGCCTATAGTTATTTTTAAGTCCGAATGCACTCTCTCTCTCTGCGTGTGTGTGACATTCAACATTTCTTTCAGGTGAACTTTGATTGTTTGCATTTTCTTTCAGTTCCCTGGAAAATGTGTGGCGCTTTGGATTATTCGCCCAAATACTGCCTACAATAGCAAGTTTAACGCAGTAATAGAGTTAGCTAGAAATCTTGAATAAACTCACGCCTGAAGAGAACGATACGTATATCTGAACTCTATAGATTTTACATTTGAGAATTGGCAGTCAAAATTACAACGAAAATGAATCCGCTGGATTTTCGAAAGATACCAAAACCCATCACGCCGACGTAGATTCTCTGTGAGACACTTGTGAATGTGGTTGGGTGCATTTGCAAAAAAATTATTTATTTATATCAAATGGCAGGCGTTTTGATGGTTTTCATTAGCTCTTTAGTTGACTTCAGGCTTCACAGAGGGGAAGGAACATCAAAGTGAAAAAAAGTCGAGAAGGGGGGTGAGGCAGAAGAGTATTTCAAAGACAGACACAAAGGTAGAAAAATGGTGAGGTGAGCACTTTGGAAGTAGTTAAATACGACATACAGTGAGGTGATGGTAGTTTGAAGTCAGAAGTCAACTACCGGTTAAAAGACTTTTTGTGAAGTGAGAAGTCAACTGCCAGTTAATAGACCTTTTTGCGTTGAAGTCAGAAGTCAACTACCGGTTAAAAGACTTTTTGTCGTATGAGTATACGTTGCCCAGGGTGCACCACGTGGAGGTAAATCTATCGCACACCTCTTTTCAAAAAATTGTTCGAGCGCTTAATGATTAAGACTGAAATGTCAAATGCCTTAAAAAGATGACAGGTTGAAAGAAACAGATTTCCTTCTACTTGAGATCGCTTGCTTAAAGTATCGATTTTTATTTTATGTCCGGTTTATTCGATCAATTCGATTATAAATCCACCATTCTCAGTTAATCAAAATACCTTTTTACGTAATTTAAGCAAAATTGAATCACATTCATGAAGGAAACATTTTCAGTTCTTTCTCTTCAAAGATATTGTATAGACTCTTAACGAGTTTTTTTTCATACTGAGACTGTGCTACACATTAAACTTTCTGAATAAATTCTATGCTTTTATTCTGAATTTAAATTTAAATTAAATAAAGCTCATCAAAACTAACATATCAAATTATATTATACGGATTTTCAAAGCATTTGATCGCAATTTTAAGATAATTTGTACTTTTAGGATCAAGTTTGTGAAGTTTGTGTACCCGATTTCGCAAACGCTCACGCTGAACCAATAACTTGAAACGATTTATATTTAATTGACACTTAGAGGGATAATGATGTAGAAATTACAGAAATTTGGCTAAAAAAACGAAGCCTTCATTACCTATTGCTTAGTTATATCTAGTACTCACAAAACTTAAATGTTCGAACTTCTAATGTTCTCTAAAGGATGAAGCTGCTATTCTACTTTTTTGGTAATCTACTTATTGCAGGATGGAACAGAAATTCAAATCATGTGCAATTTTTGGGTGCACTATTCTAATGTGGTTTCATAGAAAGGATACGAAATAAGGATCTCAATAACAAGAATTTTGCAAATTCGATCTTGTATTCAAGCAACAAACATTTATTGCCTTAATTACAGTCCATGGATTCGTTTCCTAATGTTTCGCTCTTTATATTTTAAGTATACTGTATTATGATTTTGATAACAGTCAAATTACCGAGATTTAGAGGTTATTGTCCAACAAAGTAAGTTGGTTAGTTGGTCGACTGTTGCCTGTCTATTGACGTAAAACTTATTTTTGAACGGGTTTCAAAAAGAATTAAACTATTGTCAAACACTTTTCAGCCTTATATAAGTGAACAGAGGAAGTTTGAACAAAAAATACATTTATGTGCGCGTATACATCACATAAAATACTCTCCATCTTTAATTTAAAACCCACCTAATAGAGGACTTTACTGTTTAAATCCACAAATTCATTTATATCTACCTCTAACGTAGCACTAGAAATGTTTCTACTAACATGATATTAATATCCGTTGGCGAATCTATCTACGTACTCACCCATTCATTAATAATTTAATTCTAATGCCTCAAGCGGAAAAAATGGATGAGATCCATCTTTATTGGATAGAAATAAAAAAATTGCATGATCTGACTTCCAAAAGGCTCGAAAATGGTGGGATCATCAAAAACCAGTTTCTTTTATTCTGCCGTTTGCCTAATTCATGCCACTCCAACAATAGATAATGGCAGTATTGCCTTTATCTAGAAGGAAGTTCAGTAATTTCCGATACAGCCTTTATTTACCTAACTCCGTCAACTGTTGTGTGCTCTAAAAGATAAACCCATTTTAAAGATTTTCTGCCACTTCTGCATTTCTACAGGCTGCAGATAACAATAAAAGTAAATGAGTTGTCTATTAGCTACAATAAGGTGGTCTAAACTTTTCCGAAATTATTCTAGGAGATCGACGAATGAAAATTAGTCCCATCAATAGGTGGACTTGTCTTGGTGGAAAAAGTTGAAAGGAAATGTAACTTTTCTCATAATCAGGACATTTTAAAATACCTGAGTCGATATTTGGATGTCTATAACGACTTTATAACGCTACGTTAACTTGGACGATTAACTCTGCACTAATCAAATTATCAGGGGACAATTTTGTGCAAACTCTACGACGGAAAACAATGTACCAAAGACATTGATAGCCAAATTCTCTCTTTCATCCAACCAGCACTAATGTTTGTTTCCTTCCTAACTCCAATCGATCAGCTCTATTTACTCATTATCCTCTCATACCTCACCATTTAATCCGCAATACTCCATCAACTAAATTTTGATTGAGTTGTTTTATTTTTGAGAAAGGCTGTCTTTAGGAAGATCATTAATTATGCCAAAGGAATATCTATTAGTCTTAATTGGTCTGCTTTTTAAAGTACCTTTAGTGGTACATTTTGCGTAAAACTTTTGCTTGAACACGGAAGAACAACAACTAGTGTCTTTATTTAATTTGTTAAAACGATGCAGCTTCATTTTTTGGTAGAAATGAAATCGAGCTTAAAATTTTGTGTCCACTTTAGATGGCTTCCGCTCTAGAAGTCTTGAACCCTCGCCTTACAATTCCTTCAAACAACATCACGTCCCTACTGCTCCTATTCTCACTCCAAACCCCATTCGTGCAAGAAATCGTCAACAGCTTCAAGTGGCATTCAGCACTCCGGAAAGTGACTACGAGACTCCGGAGACAGTGTGGCGACGAGCTCAGCTAATAACGCCGTCTGTTCGTCGAACAGAGAGCTCTCGATATCCATATAAACTTCTTCCAGACAATGTTCAAAGCAACTTGAGCGGTGCTAGAGCTCAGATTGGTGCGGATGCCACTTCTAAAGGCCTTTCACGCTCACCAGAAGAGGTGACACCCAAGCCAACACTTCATTTTGGACCCAGGAAACGATTCACTGGACTAACTAGCTCGGTTAGACGAGAATTGCTTGCGCCACAAATTCAAAGAAGATACTTTAGGCCTGTGAAGACTGATGATGAGGACTCCGACAATGACGTTGATTGTAGTGTGGAAACGAAACCCATAACCCTTGCTGAGGTTCTGAAGCAAAGAAATGGAGTACGTTCTAAAACTGTAAAATGCATTAGATTGGCATAACTTTTGAATTATCAAATAAGAAGTGCAGCATTTATTTATTTATAAATTATACTTCAGTTTTTAAAGATTTATATATTTTTAGTCAATATAGTGTAATAAAGACTGTAATTTTTATAAAACCGAATAAATATAGTCCTTTAAACACTACTTATAACATTAAGTAACATATAATTTGCACAATTTAATTCCTGCTTGCTGATTGGCTCATTTACCTTTGGGAATTGTAAACGAAACTACTATTAATAGTTCGTTTGCAAATTTTAAAACTTATTCCAGCATAAATTTCTAATCGTTCCACTTTGCAGTTTCCCCATTGTTTATCATGTTTAGGTTCAAGCAGAACCATCATGCTGCTTGCCTAAAGTGTTTCATTTAATACTTGTTATGACTCGCTTCTCCAACGCCTTATGTCGTTTATTTTCCCACAAACTTCATAGTTTAGAAGTAGTTTGTTCGACCTTAACCTTTTCATCTTGCATCCCTGTAATCAGAAGATCGAAAAGAATGTTTAAGCGTGAAAATAAACATGAATTTCAAATAACCTGAGACCCTCTTTGCGTAAACGATTGAGGAGGTACGTGTGATTGAACGTATTATCGAAGAGGATAGCAAGTAACGCAGTGATTAAATTGTTGTCTCCTTTAATTTAGAGGTCACATGGTCTTTGTGGAAATGCAAATTCACAATATTCACTCCAGAATATATTTCCTTCTAGCCACTCAGATATTACTAAAACCTACCTTTTTAGGATTGCAGTCAGCCTATTTCATCAAACAACTTTCGCCAGACCAAGGCTATGGGCTGTTAGGCTCTCCATCTAAATTTGCACTTCGATCTAAGCTCAATTAATAATTATATATATTTCGCAAACATGCTAATTTGGATATATTAAACTGGCAACTAAGTCATTGCCGATTTCAAATAGGAAGGCAAATTCGGAATTTTTGTTTAAAAATATAACTTTATTCAATTAGATATTGGCCGTTCTTGTCGATGACCTTTTCCAACGTTCTGGTAGGGTAAAAATCCGCCGTTTGTAAAATGTCTGGTCTTTGCTATTAAAAAACTGAATTAGGTGTGATCCGACACGATCCGCGTTGTTAAAAATTTTACCATTTAAGGAGTTTTGCATGGAACGATACAAATGGTAGTCCGAAGGCGCAAGGTCAGGGCTATATGGTGGGTGTGACAAAACATCCCAACCCAGTTCCAATAATTTTTGCCGAGTAACCAAAGATGTGTGGGGCCTTGCGTTATCATGATGGAAAACAACACCCTTCCGATTTGATAATGCCGGCCGCTTATCTTCAATTGCATCCTTCAGTTTTTCCAGTTCTTCAACATACACATTTGAATTTATCGTTTGGTTCTGCGGCATAAGTTCAAAATACAAAATTCCTTTGTGATCCCACCAGACTGCTGACAGCATAATCTTTTTTTGGTGAATCTCTGCTTTTGATACTGTTTGGGCTGGTTGATCTTGCTTCACCCATGATCTCTTGCGAGTAACATTGTTATAAACTATCCACTTTTCGTCGCCAGTAACTAGGTTCTTCAGAAATGGATCATTCTCATTGCATTTCAGTAGCGGCGAATCACAGATGCTAATCCGTTGCGTCAAATGAATTTCCTTTAACTGCTGGTGAGGGATCCATAAATCAAGTTTCTTGACATAACCAAGGGTTTTTCATTTTTTTTCAATGCATGTATGCGACACATTGAGCTTCTCTGCAATATCATCTCGTGTTGTGCTGTGACGATTTGAATGACCTTGATAATGGCCTTGATATGGGTTTCATCCACTTCGACTGGGCGGCCAGATCGTTGTGAATTTTTCAGTGTAAAATCACCGGAACGAAATCTTTCAAACCAATTTCGACACTGCCTTTCTTTTAAGGCTTCATCTCCATATGCGGCACATAACTTCTTTTGTGCTTGCGATGCGTTCTTGCCTTTTCGGAAGTAATACAATAAAATGTGTCGGAAGTGCACGTCCTGTTCTTTCATTTTTAAATTGAGATAAAACAAAACTAAAGAACTAAACAAAAAAATTTTTTACTAATTAACCTAGAAACCCATACAGTAAGAAAAAAATATAGGTTAGATGCTCTGGCCACGTTAACAAAACAAAAGAAAGTATAGAGTGAATCTGTCAACAAAAACGGCAATGACTTAGTTGCCAACCCAATATTACAATTAATTCTCATAAACATTACGAACTGTATCGATGATTTGTGATAGAATCGCATAAATTGATGGTATTTAAATTTGACGCAGTTGTGTGACCAACTAGAACCTAGGTATTATTAGGGGATTACAGACTTGAATTGGATAACGCACAAAAAAGTCCCAGAGTTAGCATTACACTAATTAAGATGGACTAAGGTGAACGCATCCCTTACAGATATCATTACATCAGCTGCAACTTGTCTCCACTCGGCAAATAGAAGATTAATTGCCACATAACTTCGTGCATACTTTCCTCAAAATTTGAAGCCCTTTTAAATGAGAGAGATTTAAGCCAGGTCAAAGGCACAAACTGGCCAATGGCAGGTGGACGCCATTGATTGGTTTATAAAACTGTGCTGATCGCATTAGATCATGACTGTTTATGTTATTTCATCCGCGCGCGATTTGGTTTGCATTACTGACGGTAAGCTTCCTCGTTATGAGAATTGCGTTCATTTAATCTACTTAATTAATTCATTGTCAAACTTTTCAATTGTCTTTTGACTGAACGATGTCTTAAATACTATTGACATAATTCATTATTATTGCTTATTAATTTTATTTCTGATTTTATTAATAATAATTTCAATCCACACATTCATTGAATTAGACAATTCGCTTCACAACGTGTTTTCTTAAAAATCTTAATTTTATTGTTCATACTATTCTTTTTTTCATTTTCTGCATTAAAATAATGCATTCATTTATTCATGGGAGCTTGATCTGGACGCAGGTTACGCAGCTATAGATGTGCGGAGTTTTTTCATGGACTTTGGGGTTTTTCTTCTCTTATAGATTTAAACAAACACATTCTGTTTGGCTTTGATTTTTTTTGGAAAAGAACAGATATTCTTTTACACATTATTTAAACTCTAATGGAACACGATAAGACACAGTGCACCCCATTCAATCTTCATTTTGCCAAGTTGTCTCCTCAGGTTAGAACTTTCACATCATTTATTTATATCAAATGGCAGGCGTCTTGATGGTTATCATTAGCCATTTAGTTGACTTCAGGCTTCACAGAGGGAAGAAACATCAAATTGAAAAAAGTCGTGAGGGGGGGGGAACGGAAGAGTGTTTCAAAGATGTAAGAGACAAACACAAAGGTAGAACAAGGGTGAGGTGAGTACTGTGGAAATAGTCGAATAGGACATAGAGTGAGGTGATGGTTGTTTGAAGTGAGAAGTCAACTGTCAGTTAATAGACTTTTGCCGTATGTATATACGTTGCCCAGGGTGTACCACGTGAAGGTAAGTCTATCGCACACCCCACTTTCACATCATAGAGGCTTGTGTTTTGTCTGAATTCGATTTCTATAAATATGTACAACTCTCAAGCGGGCAGCAGATTTAGACCAACGTCTATTTTGTGTAAAATACCTGCATGTTGGGAAACTGATTATTCACCCTACACGCGACAAATCTTTTCGAATGACCCTGTTTATTCCGAAACATGCATGGTTTAAAATAATATTCAACGTAT